GCATGTGAATGTTGAGAGGGCTGTACGGTGACTCACAAGAATGTAGAAGAGTTAACGAGGTTCCGTACCCTTGTACTCGGAATGAAATAAATATTAATTTTTTACTGTTTAAAAAATATTAATAATTTTTAATTAAACTAATTGATAAATAAATGTACTTTTTATTATAAATTTTTTATTTGTGGATGTTTCACTTTCACCTTATTTTCATCTTTAATTTCTTCTATATTGTAAGTTCTTATCAATGAAAGTCATTCAATGCATGTTCAAAAAAAAAAAAAAAATGAAAGTCATTCAAAACCACACTTAAGTGTTATTCATATGACTCCACTAAGATGCCATTTATGACTCCACTAAAGTGTTATTCATACATACATTTAATCCTATTTATTAGTCAATTATCTACATTTAGTCCTATTTATTGGTCAATGAAATCCCCACATTTCTCTTAACCTATATATATGCCTACAAGTTTGTATTATGAATGATATGATAAAATAAGAAGTAGTTACAAGTTCTTTTCCTTCTTGTTGGTGCTACTCTTCTGATTTTTATTGTTTTTGTTTCTTCTATTTTCTTATAATTCACAACCTTTCTTACGTTTTTTTTTTTTTAAATTAAGTATTCCTTGGTTCTTTATTAATATATAATGAAAATTAGACATAACGGCATAGCTATTGTTAACATCTTATAAAAGTTTAGTTTTTATAGTTTTTTTTTTTTTTAAATGAATCAAAATATTTTATTATGATGAGGAGTACAAGAGGTACTCTACTTAAAGTCTCCATGAGACATTACAAGTGAACACTTAAGAGGACATTCAAAAAGTGAAAAAATGAATGCCTGAAAGTGTAATCTAACTTTTAGTAATTTCTTGGACACATAAACTAGGAAAATTATACCAACAAAAAAAAGAAAACATAGTGTTTACATATTTCCCCCTAATCCATGCAAAAGACCTCCTTTGAATTAGATCAAATGTTTTGTCCTCATCCCATTGTTGTGAGTTGTGGATAATGTTGTTTCTTGTGTACCATATGGACCATGTCACCACAAAGAAGATGAAAAGTCAGCTTTAACTAGTTTCTTATCCCTTGGTTGTGAGCTTCACAAAGAAGAGAAATTGAGTTGGGTAAGGAGATGAAAATCCCCCACCATTTGTAACATCTCATCCATAGATCCTGGATCTTCAAACATTGAACAAATAAGTGATTTTCATCCTCAACATCCCTTTTACATATGCTGCAAATGCTCTCCTATTCTTTAAGCAAAATGCCCCTCATTTAAAGACTTGATTTTGTTGGCAAACCATTAAGGAGAAGGCACCAACCAAAACAGTTGACTTTTGTTGGAATTAATTTGTTCCATAGCCTCTTGCATATTCTTGACTCTAGAATTTTGCTCTGTCCAATCATCATTGAGTAGGCCTTGTCGACTATGTACCCGTTTGCTGCATCTAAGCTCCAACTTCTTTGGTCTGGTTGGGAGGATAGCATAATCCCGCTCGTGAGGATCTCCTTTAATCTTTGTTCTTCATTCTTTTCCTTACCAAACAGTTCATGTCTCCAAATATTTTTCCACATCCAAGATCCATTAGAAAAATGGCCCACCTCCATAACTTTAGCATTCTTATTAGAGGCCAAATTAAACAATCTAGGAAACGAGTCATTTAGAGTTTCAATTCCTACCCATTTGTCCTTCCAAAATTTGATTTTGTCACCCATCCCCAACTTCCAGCGGAATCCCTCTCTAAATGTCTATGCACCTTTACCCCCTTCATCACCTAATGTCACAATATTTCTCCATAGAGTGGATACATTTCTAGTTTGAACTTCTTTAATATCTCATACTATACCACCTCCATAAAACTTATCAACAATAATTTTCTTCCAAATACTATGCTCTTCCTTCCTAAATTTGTCCCAACACTTCCTTAATAAAGCTGTGTTCCTACACTCAAGATCCAGCACACCTAATCCTCCCACATTTCTACCCTTACACACTTTCTTCCAACTTAACCACGCTATTCTATTCTTCTCCTCCATATATCCCCATAAGAATTTTCTTTGTAAGCACACAAGTTCATGAAGCACAATTTTAGGAATTTAAAAAAAAAAAAGACATAAAATAATCAAAAAGGTAGAGAGAACAAACCTTAGCAATGCAACTCGGCCACCAATCGACAGGCTTTTCTCTTTCCAGACTGCCAGCGTTTTATTAAAGTTGTCAATAACTGGAATCCAAGGCCTTCTTCTACACATAATGTCACCAATTGGCATCCCAAGGTAGGTGAAAGGGAGTGATATAGATTTGCAATTGAGATTAGCAGCCACCATTCTCCTCCATTCATCGGAAACATAGCATAAGTATAGGACACTTTTGTTAAAATTAATCTTCAAGCCTAAGACTAGTTCAAACCATCTCAAAATCCCTTTCACAACTTTAATATTGCCAAGATCTGCCTTCCCCATTATAATAGTATCATCAACGAATTGGAGACGTGAGATGTTAAGACCATCGAAGCCTACAGGAATTCCTTGGAATAATTCCTTTCTAATGGTTGATTCGATTAGCATGTTCAAACCTTTAGCAACAATAAGAAAGAGTAACGGAGCAATCGGGTCACCTTATCTTAACCCCTTCTCCATTTTAAACTTGTCCATTGGACTTCCATTAACAAGAACTGATGCTGAAGTTATTTGCAAACACTCCTTTATCCGCAATCTTCATTCTTCCCCAAATTCGAGCCTTCTCATCATTTCATCTAGGAAAACCCAATTCACACTATCGTATGCCTTCTCAAAGTCTGTTTTAAAAATGAAGCTACTAATCTTTTTCCTCCTCATTTCCTCTACCACCTTGTTAAGAATTAGGATACCATCTATGATTTGTCTTCCTCCCAAAAATGTTGGTTGTGTCCCACTTTTCCCCTTAGGTAGTACTTTCTTAATCCTGTTAGCCAACACCATTGATATGATTTTATATAGGCTACTAATCAAGTTGATGGGTCTGTAGTCTTTTAAATCAATAGGATTATCTTTTTTTGGGATAAGAACAATAAATGAAGAGTTTAGCCCCCTTACTAGTTTTCCGTTCCTGGAGAACTCTTGGACAAAATCAACTGTGTCTTTCTCGATCACATTCCAAATGGATTTGATAATATGGAAACTGAACCCATCAAGACCTAGAGACTTGTCTCCTCCACAATCCCACACTGCTTGTTTCACCTCTTCTATTGATACTTCTCTTTCTAGCCAAATGTTGTCTTCATCATTTAGCTATTTGAACTATAGTCCCTCAAGCTTTAGCCTATCCCATTGCTCTTTTTAGAAGATTTTGTTGAAATATTCACGCACTTCTTGTTTCACCACATTGGGTTCCTCTATCCAAGCTTTGTTTTTGTTTATGCCTCGAATCAATTTTCTCCTCTTATTGCCATTCATTATTCTACAGAATAACTTGGAATTAACATCTCGTTGCTGTACCCAATCAAGCTTTGTCTTTTGTTTCCATGCCACTTCTCTTCTTTACCATGCTTCCCATAATTCACTAAAACCTTCCTTTCTTAACAAAACATCCTCCTCTGTTATTTCGCTATCCTTATTCTTATTGTCAACTTCTTTGATTTTTGCTTCTACCTCAGCAATTTGATTCTCATAATTTCTGAATACTTCACTATTCCATTTCTTCAATTTATTCCTCAATCTTTTAAACTTCTCTTTGCAAACATATCTCTTCCACCCCTTAACCTTTGTAGATTTCCAGTTCTCCTCGACCACTTTAATGAATTCTAGGTGTTGATCCCAGCAATTCAAGGCCCTAAATGGCTTTGGGCCCCAATCACTATTAAACTTCTTTAGGATCACCAGACAATGATCAGATGTAGTTCTATTAAGTCCAATTTGGCAACAATCTCCCTAGAAATTAAGCATATCATCAGATAAAAGAAATCTGTCCAACCTACTCTTTTCTGACCCATCACTCATGTACCAAGTAAATTTCCTTCTTGTTAATGGCAAATTAACCAGTCCTGCTTGTTCAATGAATTCGTTGAGATCCTCCCTATAGCTAGAATGCTCAGATCTTCCTATTCTCTCTTCTGTTGATCTCACATTGTTGAAGTCTCCAGCGATGCACTAGTAATTTTCTCCTTCCTCAATCATCTTCAATATCTCTGCCCATGTTTCCAATCTTTCATTCTTGTTACATGAAGCATACACATTCACAATGCAACACTTTTGCTTCTTCTCTCCCCATAGGCCATGAATAGCCAAGGCACCTAGAATTTTAGTAACTATTTCTTTTACAAAGATATCAGTGTCTAATACACATAGTAAACCACCTGATCTACCCACTGATGCCTTATATACCCAATCAAAATTATCTCGGCCCCAAATAGACATACATAACTCCTTGTCAAATCTGTCCATTTTAGTTTCCTAGAATCAAGCTAAATTAATTTCCTCCTTTCTTATCAGACTTCTCACCTCTTTTTCTCTTGATTGAACTACCTAGCCCCCTCACATTATAAGAAATCAATTTCATCACTGGAAATTTTTGAAAATTAAGAGAAAGGCCTACCGTTACGATTGCTGGGTATGCCCTTGTTTGTCCCTTTCTTCCATCCGACTGAATCTTTCCCCTATCTGCTTTTCTTTGTTACTGATCTCGATCCCTAATTTGCCCCCAAATTCCAGAGTCTTCCTCGCTTCGTCAAGTACCATGCCTTCCTTGATCCTTTTGTTATTGCACATAATGTCGTTGTCAAATGTTGATCCTTTCAAAGATGTTCCGCCAAGACTAACCAGCTAGGGCATTACTCTTCTTCTTTTTCTGCGTCTCATTCCTATCACCAATGTCATCGTTTTTGCTCTCGTTTCTTCTGGTAATATGGGGCTTTTGATAGGGCTTTTTAATATTTTAAGCCCATTATCCTCCTGATGGTTTGACCCTTTTTTCTTCTTAGCCAAATGGGCTTTGTTTTTGCTATCAAGTGGGCTTTTGGATTGGGCTATTTCTTGGACAACCCTTTCATTTGAGGTTGGAGTTCTATTGAAGCTGATATGGCTCCCATTTGCATGCCCCTCTCTCTGTTTCCCATGGTGATGATTAGACAGAGTGTCATCATTATCTTTGCATGCCTCAAGAAATTTCTTTGAGACACAATTTGTTAGGATAATTAATGCCATTGACATTTTTCAAAAAGTGTTTGAATTTCCTCTTCATTTGGACCGTTTGAATATTCACCATTGAGCTTGCCAAAATCGTCACCAAAATTGAAGGCCGTTGAGCTACATCTGACTCTACACTGGAATTATCAATTTTATTCAACCACTAAGGATTAGATCTCCAGTTTTCCTCCACTAAAGTAATGTTGAATTTGTTATTCTACATTTTTAGTATAAATTCTTTGTTAATCCCTGTTTTGGATTTAATAAAGACTAAGATTCTTGCTACATTCAGACACTCCTTAGAAAGAGTGAGTTCATCAACTGTGACAAGCTTACCCACATGGTTACCAATTGTTGATAGGCTTTCTTCCATCCAAGCATGCAATGGTAATCCTTGAATTCTAACCCACACAAGTCTCTCTTCTACAATATCTATTGGAGACAAAAACTTAATCCAATCAAAATAAGATGACACCCATTGTAAATTCCCATCAACCTACTCCTTTATACATTCCAGATTCTTATCGTAGATCAACACAAGGTTACCGCCCATGGGAGCTATTTTGATTGAAAGGAATCCTTCATTAAAGAATGTCTCTGGAAGATTTGAGATGATAGAAGGAGATGAAGCCACTCTTACAGCACACTTCATTAAATTGTCTTCAGCCTTTTCTATCCTTTTAATCTTGATCACCTTTTTATATATGAATCCTCTAGGAGCCATAGCCTTAGTCATTCATCTGTTTGAGTTCCTAGTGTAACTTCTTGCCTCTAATGGTGTAAGCCCTTTCAGATCTATATCTTTGATGTTTGCCTTCTCTTTTTGTTGTAAAAGGCTTTGCGCATATGTCATCTTTGGAACCTTCCTATTTTCTTCATCAACCTTGATGTTTTCTTCATAACTGGTCCTCTTTTTGCTACTCTTCCATCTTGCTTCCTCCACTAATTTTGCTTGCAATGTGCATTTCTCTTCTCTTCTTTCCACAGCTAAGTTGAAGATCACCCTTTTGTTACCAATCCATATGCTTTCCAATTGCTTCTTTATCTCTTGACCATCTCTGACATCCAAGAATTTGGTCAGTCCATATCTGTTGCCTCTTTTATCCCTCTTACTCGGAATGAATATATCCCAGAGTCGACCTGCTTTAATTGTCTTCCTTATGAAGAAGAACAGCTCCTTCGCTCCCCACTCAGTAGGAAAGTTGACGAAATGGTAGGATACACATTGTTTCAGTAAGCCTTTATCAAAAGCTGGCAGTCTGTTAATGAAGTCCTTGAAGCCGGTTGCCGGTTGCCGATTTGCCATTGCCGTGTCGTCTCCTGTCTCCTCGTTTAGTAGCCATTCTTCCTTGGATCCTTGATTCCTCGTTTTGTTTTTATAGTTTAACTAAGATATAGCTGTTACAACCAAGCAAACAAGTTCTTTGAGTTTTAAGATATTAAAAAAGTTTTATGCAATTTGAATAGTGCTATACTACACAATCTTAACCATTCATAAAAGAGGGCCCCCTCAATTAATAGTTACATTCTACGTTGGATTGCGAAAATGCAAACTCTTAAGATATTTGGGGTACTGTCATAATAGGATTTAAATAATGTACTAGAGGCCATAGCGGGGCTAAATTGAAATTTTTTATTACTTTATTGTATTTTTTTTTTTTTTTTGAAATAACTTAGTTATTTTTTAATTATATTTTGTTGTTAATAGAATAAAATTCAATTGGGCAAAGAGATTTCACGTAAGAAAGGATTTACCATTGACTCAATAATAATTGGGTTTACATTTAGTTGGGACCTTAAGATGCATCTTATTGGATTTTTTTAATGATTTTAGTGTACCTAATTTTTTAATTATCTTGATAGGATGTATGTATTTATTGTTGTTTTAATTTAACAGAAAAAAAAAAAGGAAGGTGGGGTTCGAATGTATGGTTCACCAAGTAATAACTTCTGATGTTGAAAAAAAACAAAGAAAAGAAAAGGGAAAGGGAAGGGAAACTACTCCCTTCCAAATGATTTAGGTATCTTATATTATCTATTCACAATTATTGAGAAACTTATGTTTCGTTTAATATAGTTGTATTTTGAGTTTTTATTTTTAGCTTTTATAAATTTTGAAACTAAAAATAAAAAACTTGTTTACTATCACATGTTTTTGTAATATATTATTATGATTATTAAAAAACTAAGAATAAAATAGTTTTAATACTATTAAACAAGTAAATATTTTTACATGATAGTGTTTTAAACAAAATTTTAATTTTTTACTTTATTTTTGTTCTTAGTAATTGTAAAATTTATAAAAACCAAAATCAAAAACCTAAAATTATGGCCAAACTAAATGAAATCTTAATTAATTTACTACAATTAATGCTTGACTTTCCAATTTTATCCAGAAAACAAAAGCCTAACATGCTCCTTAATTTCCTACTCCATAATAATAAGGTTAAAACTAAAATAGTAGCATTTAATGTCATTTTAGAGTGAGATAATTCATTTAGATCTTTAAATAGGACAATTAAATTTACATTAGAGGGCAGTATAAAATTAGAAACAATAAAATTTTTAGACTTAATGGGCCCAAATCGAGAGATACAAAATCTTGGACAGTATCGAGCCGAGATTTAACATGTCATCCATGGACCATGAAAAGTTCGGTCCATTTCTGCTGCTTCAGCTCCGTTAATGATGAATCGTTTTCAGTCATAACTTCTTTCTGGAAAGAACAGACCCACACTTATAGGACCCATACCCTACACAAGGCCTGCTGAAACTAGGGGTGAGCATGGGTAGATATGGGTTACGTGTTTCCACACACCTATCCTTGATTTAAATAGTAACATGTACAAGATTTTAATATCTAATATTTATTTAAGTATTAAAAATATTTACCAGTTATCCAACTCAATTATACCAATTATCTAACTTATTTGGTACAAATATATCCATAGGTATAATTATATATTTATTAAATTTTACACTAAAAATATTTAAGTTAATATACAACTATAAATTTATACATATAATACAAATTTATATGTAAAACAAAATATGTAAGTATATATAATTACACAAACACAAGTTTATATATACAATAATAAAAGAAATACAAACAAAAATTCACATGATTTTTCTTCGATTGAATCTTTATTGTTACAAAAAAAGAAAAGAAAAACATAAACACTTTAATTTCATAACATTACATTACAAATTAAACATATAAAACTAGAATATAATCATTATATTATAACTTCTTTTATAGTTAAGTAATTTTTGTGTAAAATATATATATATATATTTTTTGTGGTGGCTATAATTTTAGAGATATTAATGATATATATAATAT